GATTTTTCTGCATGCATCTGACTCCATTTTGTATACATATGTGGAATCTGACTCAATATATCTGTGATTCTACCGAGACAAATGGGTGAGTCTAGAACACAGTCTATGGCTTTGAAGAACTTGAGTCAGATTCCTAATTTCAGAGTGAGTCATTTACATTCATCATCAAACGAAACTACATTGGGGTCAAAGTCTGGTGAGAATTTTGCAGTTACACTGAGGATGGTGAGATATGATGAGGATGGTACAGAAAAGAAAATGTATAAATGACACCCATTCAAACAGGAAGACTGTTTCTGCCCCACTCTAAAAGCCTGCTGGTAATAATGTAACTAAAGGAAAATTTGCACATCTATCAGAGCAATGACAGTGGTAGATGCAGAAATATTGTAGTCTTAATTTAGTTAGCTCGGTATCAGTGACCAGAAAGCTATGGAGTGACAGGTTAGCAGGCCAGATGAGTAGCCGTAATAATCAGGTGGGTTTGTTTAAAGCACATACACTGCCTTTGAAACCAAAGTACTAAGATGAGAGCTGGCTAAACCTACTGCAGTCATGCTTTTTACTGCAGGGTTGAATGGTACCCAATTTTTTTTGGTAGAAGAGCTCATTTGACATCTTCTAACTGTACACAAAAGCTGTACCTTACAACTCCATTTAAGACCAGACAAGCAGCGCCATATGGCATAAAACCCAGGGTTCTCCTGTCATATGCCAGGTTCCATGTTAGACCACGAGACGATCCCTTGCTGTACGTTCAAAACCTGGATATCCATCATCTTAAATGCGTGTGTGCTAATGTTATATGTTATCAGTTTGTGCAAGTAAGGTAACTATACACTGCATAGAGCAATTGTTATCTTACTGAACATGGCCATCTTTCTTGATGGGAGAGGCCTGCATTTTCACTGCATAATAGGAAGTACCTGTGAGGATTTCCAGAAAGATGAGTGAGAACTGACTAGCATAGCAGTTCAAGAACAATTCACCTGGCCAAAATCACATTCTGCCCACATTTAAGGGAAGCTGAGCTAAAAATCAAGAAGCAACTGCGATCACAGTTACATAAAACCTAAGAAAACTTCACACAGAAACAATCATTGAACTTAGAGATGTAAAAAAATAAGTTATTGCTGGCTTTAAAATCGTTTTTGAACTTTTTTTCTGTACAGTATGAACAGAGCTGACAGTTGTGATTCCTTAAGAGTTTCCGTCATGAGAATCTCTTCCTTATGCCTTCAGCTTTGCCAAATATTAATTGTTGAGACTGAATTTATTTATGCTGTTGGCCTCATCCTGATTCCTTTCATTAATGACACTATAAATGGTGAGATACTTCTTTCAATGAAGTTAGAAAGAAAAACTTAACTTGACAATGCAAGATCCATGTGTTCTCATGGTGCTGCTTCTTTCAGCTTGAATGCTTATAACAGAAAAAGCTTCACCATTTCATAGAAAAAGTACATTTTTAATCTGCTTATTGGGAAAAGTTTGAAAGTATTGTTTCAGTAACCTACAAGTTTAAAAAACAAAAGACAAGAACAATCTATGTTATTTCTTTTTTTTTTTTTTTAATATGAACGTTAAAAACTATTTTTGCAATTACTTAATGAGTATACTGGTAATACTGCAGCATTAAAATATATTTCCACCCATTTTTTGAGAACTTTTGATACCATCTCTTTACTCTGAATTTTGTCAAGTAGGCTGCTCAGGCAATATAAGAGTTTGCATTTTGTTGCTCCTGTTTAAATTTATTGAAATCTGGCCATTCAACACTTCTCTAAAATAATTTCTAAATATGCTCAGAAAAAGCTTCTTAGTGGCTTGCACTAAATACCTACAAAGCTGCCACGTGTTGACTGTGTTGCTGCCTAGCGTTAACAGCACCTTCATTGCTGTTGATAGCAAAAGCTGCTGAGGCATCAGATACTGAGACCAGGAAGAGGAAAAGCCCTCCTGCTGCTCCCAAACCAGTTAGAAGCAGGAATAGGAAACAACCTAATTTAAATTGAACATAAGGATAGAAATAGGAATAATAGTAGGTTCAGAAATAAGACAGCTTAAGTTGCAGGCTTGGAAACAATAGGAATTTGAACTCAATAACACAAATATAGTTGTTCAGTGTTTCTATAAATGGTCCTTTTTCAATATTTTGGTCCCAAGGAGTCTTTACTACCTATCTTCCCATGCATGCAGTGAGTACAGAATTACTAATTTCCTCCTTAGCTTTATTTATGAGTCTTATGGTATTTAGTCGTTCACAACACCATTTGCCTCCCCTTATTAACACACCTTTGAAATCAGGTACATTACTTGTCTTTTAAAGACAGTAACAGAAGAGATTCAGCCACCATTGTCAGAAATGTCTTTTAACTCAGCATTTCTGAGACTGGTATATGTCAGTGAGAGGAGAGGAGGCACAAGAAATGGATTCTTTCAAGTGGCTTCAGGAAGCCTCTAGAAAGGAGGCCTCTGGGATCCCTGTTGCCTGCTCAGCAAGCTGGGGCTGAGGGCAAAGAAAGAGGAACAAGGGGTTTTGGTGGAGGAGAGTCTGTTCCCACTCTGAGAGAGTACAGAATGAGGGCCTGCTGCTGATACACACTGTCCTTTGGAGGAGTCAGCATAAGTGTGCGTGACCTTAAAAAAATGGGGGCAACACAGTAAAAAGCTTCTTTGTGATTCTTGTGCAGCTGAGAGCTGCATGCATACGAAGGAATTACGTTTGCATTTGTTCATGCCTAGTATGATTCAAGCAGGTAGGGTATATTAGATTTCAGTGTCCTCTCTACCCCCTTGGCAGGACAGTTTAGAGGCTACTCAGGGGTAGAGTGGGAATACAGGTAGTGACCCAGCAAATCCATTCATCAAGGCCTGTGATCAATAAACTGAACAAGCAGTGCTGGCAGCATGACAGCTGCTGGGTTCTTGCTGTTGCTGCAGATTGGGTCTGCTGGTCTCTGCTGCAGAGATCTGATGCTTAGATGTGCACAGGGTACACTTCAAATAGAATAATTCAGATGAACAAAAATTTGAAGGCTTACATATCCCTTAAAATTAAGTTTCACAGAAGGTAGGGATGGCCAGCTTTCTGGGTCAACTTTCACTTGAACTTCTCTAGAAACATCGACTTCATTGCTACTGAAAGGTAACTGGATCATGCTTTGATATGGTATGGCCATTTACATGCTTGTATTTTACCAAGACTAATGTTCACAATTAATGTACTCAAAATCTGTAAGAATTCAACTTCAGATTTTCTTTTAAGGCTTGTAGCAACTTAATGGTTTTTCTTTCCATTTTTTTAAATGTAAAACTAAACCTGTAGCTTGTCTTCGAAGCTATATGCCTACTAACTGCATTTTATGAACACTGCAAAATTGCTGCTATTGAGAAAAAGTTACTCTCTCCCTGAACATTGGTGCAGTTTAAAAATCAAGAGAATGTAGCCAGATGCTTGTCCACTTGTCTGATATTAAGAATGTGAGTCATTCCATTGACATGCCTGTTGTTGAACTGGGGCCTATAGACATGAGAGCATCATTTATTTAATGCATTTGTCTCTGGAGGAAACTGCAGATCATTTGGACTTGAGTATTCATCTTTTCTCCAGATCTGTTCAAGAATGGAACACCCTTTACCATCTAGTGAAGAGATCCTCAGATGCTGTAATGCTTGAGCCAGACCCATTTATACACTGTAAACATTGATCAGAAATATACAACTAAGCAGGCAATATGCATAGATGGCAAGGATGCATGTGAGCCCTCTTAACATTTCACATGTATCTAATGAGTCATGTTAAGACAGCATCTAGCATTCAAATCTCAACAGGCGATTTTCTGTCCTTTCTCTAATCACACTAAGAATAAAGTTTACCTTTATGCAGGTGTGAAATTTTTGATTAAGTGCTTTCCTACTCACCACCTTATAATAGAAAGCAAAACGCATTTAAACTAATCACACATTCTTTTTTCCTCATGTACTGGCTACTGAGACCTTTAATCTGTGGCTGTGTAAGTCAATGCATTTCTATGTTGTTTTTCCCAACTAAATAAATTATTGCTGTAAGTAAGGTAAAAAAAAAAAAAAACAAGCAAAACAAAGCCCAAAATAAAAACCAAATGAGAAGGTCTGAAAGAAGAGTCAGGGGCTGCTGCATGAGCTTCCCACCTCCTGAGTCATTCTGCTGTCTCCCCAGTGTGTATCATGTATCCAAAAAAAAAAAAAAAAAAAAAGGAAATTTTTTTTCCATTCTCATGCAACATGGAATGATTTTTTTTTTTACAGTAAGAAAAAAAAATAAAATCATTCTTCCATATATAAAATGGTTCACAAAGCACATGTGTTTCCTATGATATTTGCAGCAGTGCAAAACCATGTTTAGTCACAGACAAGTCCTCCATTCTGTCTTCCAGAACAGGGAGAGGCTGTTTTGGGAAATGAGAGAGGGGAGAATCCTGTAAATCTCCTGTACCTCACAGAAACAAAACAATGAATTAAGGAAGTAAAGAAAGCTTCTGACTGAAGATGGCATAAAGAAGCAACAGCACATTTCTGCATTAAAACTGGGCAATCCCAGGGATGTATCTCTATGCTTTAAAATACATTCCAATTTGTATTCTGGATACAGCACCAATATAACCTCCAGTAGAAAAAGAAAACACTTGTGGATGGCCACCTCAAAACAACAGGCACAAATTACCACAATTAGGATGAAAAATACAAGCCCCAAAGTAATTCTAATGATAAGCATACAATCTTAAAGAAACACAGGAGGAGAGAACTCCAAAGAGCAACAACATTTTTGTTATTGTGCTGATATCCAATTAAATACTATGAAAAATCCATGCAGTGGTAAAGATGGCTATTATTTCCTCTCCTCTTGCTCTATTAATATTAATTGAAAACTAGGTGTGGCACCACAAGAGAGGATTCTTCATACAAAACAACAGGAATTTGTCACCTAAGCATTTTTATTAAATATCATATTGTCTTACCTGATTAAAAGAGAATTACAAATCATGGCATAAGAAATATCCAGACACTTATAGGTGATGAGTCTCCTTCTTACTGCAGGTTCACTGTCCTGGGCAAAGAAGCTTGTAAACTCTTAATTTCACTGAAATGAAAAAGGAAATAAAGAAAGAACCTCCCCATCAAAGCAACAAAGGAACCTCTGCAGTATTCTGTAGGCTCTTCTCTTGCTTCCTGTTCTGAGATTCACTCTTTGAATCCCAGCATCGATCAGAAAATTGGGGGGGGGGGAGGGAGGTGGAAAAATGAGGGGGAGGAAACAAGGAGGCAGCATATTACGTGCTGGCTCCACCTACTGGCAAGGAGATGGGCTCGGCTGGATTCTTAGCCTCCAAAACAGTTGTATTATAGTTTTTAATTGAGTATTAGCCCTTGATTATACAGCTTTAAAATGAAGTAAGTAGGTTAGGACTGATAAATGTTTAAATGTTTTTAAAAATTGGCTTGAGATTTAATCTGCACAACTTTTTTTCTGTATTGATTGTTTTAATAATGAAGCACTTGGATCCATCCGTATACAAATAATCACAGAAAGCTCGAGGTTCTGCCAGATAACATATTTTACTATGTAACAGTGCAGTATGCTTAATAATAAAGAGGTAATTCTGTATTCAGAACCCATCACTATGAAGACAGAGAAAATAAGTGTGCCTGCTTTTTTCCTCTTTGATTATTGATTCTGCAAGATATAAATTGCATTTGTAACTTCATTGAAAGCCTCGGGGGGGGGGGGGGGGGGGGGGAAGTTACATAAGAAAAAAAGAATGAATGCTTGAGTTTAGCCAGGACTGTTACGTTATTACTCAATAAAGAGCTTTTATGGTGATCTGTTTTACTTATTTCCATCCAAGACTCTCTTCTGTATTTTATATCATCTTGAAACTGCCTTTTGTACTTTGGGTACTATTACTTATGAAAGACTAATATGCAATCTGAGTGCCTCACCCAAGGTGTCTCTAGCCATGATCCCCATGATAACAATGCTTGATTTACTGAAGCATCCCTTATACTTAATAGCTGAGTGTGCCTACTTTTATCTATTTCCTTGACAGTTTTCTGTCACTTATACCTGCTCTGTCACATCAAACAGCTACCAGCCACCTGCATGCAGGACTGGCTCAAAAATTATCTGCTGTGGAGGAAAATTTCATCACACTAAACCATAAGGTTTGGGGAGGAAAATGTGCAAGAGTTATCTAGGAATGGATCTAGATGAAAGCCATGGAATTTTTAATTAGGATCCATGATCTAATGCATCACAAAAAACAGTAACATCAACACAAGGAAGTTGCTGGAGAGACTATCCCTTTCAGTAGCAACTCATATTTGTGTCAATTTAAACCATTCATTACAGTTATCACAAACCCTTGGAGGGTTTGTTCTTCAGGAAAAAGATCAATTTCCATGCTTGTTCAATCCCTACAATGGGATTCTGGACCATGAAGGAACTCCGAAGTACTAAAGTAGTTCAAGTAAAGATAATAATAGATCAACATACCTATCGTGTGAGCATGGGCTGAGTGTTTTAGAAATATTATTGTCACAAAAAATATACTCTAATTTGAACTTGATTTAATGATATTTTTGCTGTAAAATACTCTTTTATATTTAAAAAAAATGATATTCATACCTGGAAAGAGGACTTCATTGGAAGGTATAGTAATATAAAAGTCTAGTGATATGACAAGGGGGATGGCTTTAAACTGAAAGAGGGTAGATTTAGATCAGACATTAGTAAGAAATTCTTTACTATGAGGTTGATGAGACACTGGCACAGGTTGCCCAGAGAAATGGTTGCCCCACTCCTGGAGGGCAGGTTAGGTGCAGGGAAGGTGTCCCTGCCTATGGCAGGGGTTTGGAACGGGATGATCTTTAAGGTCCCTTGCAACCCAAACCGTTTTGTGATTCTATGATTCTACAGCCAGTTTTTACACTACCGAGGGCGGTGGGCTCTGTCCATGGTGCTGAAGCGCATAGCGGCGTCCCACGGAGACTTGGCACTTCAAAATGCCCGGAGAGCAACGTGGGTGTAACTTGAAATACTGTTGAATATACTTTAACAAATTTGTATACATATGGAAATGCACCATGGATGGATACAGGCCTACTATCAGCATAAACTGGTGAAGCTGATATTCTAAAGCCTACTTCCACTAAAGCTTTCACTGAATTTACTTTTCACAAAACGATCATTTCACCAGAATACCTAACATTAAAGTTTTGAATATTAATTTAACCTACTTCAGAAAGCAAACAAGAATTTCTAAGCTTTCTAAAAAAAAAAAAAAAATCCAACCAGAAAAAAAAAAAAAAAACACACCCCAAAGATCATTTGAATTAATAAAATCTCAAGAGTTAAAAATGAGATAGAAGTGTTTCAAGAGATTTGGAGATTGTATGACTATTACTTTTAACAACACTAATATAAAATTCTTAGCTGTAGAATAACCATCTAATTAAAGGAATACTGGGAAGAAACATGGATTTCAGCTTCATTATAAATACTATTTTCTCTCTCCCGAACTCTGAGAAACTTTTATTTTTTAATATATTCTGTAATCTTAATCCTTCCACAGTCTATTACTTTCTCACTTTTTTTTTTTTAATTTGTGACAATTACATAATAATGGCAAAACTTGTTGGCAAAGATAGCTTTGCTTTTCTATATCCCCTGTGAAGAGTACAGTGATAATGAAAGATGATGGTAGTATCTCACATACACCATAATAAAAATGCCACAAGAACTCAAAGACAATAAAAAATTAACCGTTGAAATTCACAGGAATTTTCTATTTTCTTAGAAAACCTGGATTTGTCAGTTGTACAAACTCTCCCAGTTACACATTTGTGAGAAAATAAATTTTTTTTTCTATGAAAAATTCAGAAAAGCACTGTGAGAATCACAAATTCCAGTAAAACTCTCAGAACTGATTCTAAATCTATTAAAGCTCTCCAGCAACAGTTACAAACATGGTATATTCTTGGTTTTATAAATCCATATTAGTAGTAACTACATAGGAATGAAAATAAAAATCCATTGAACAAATCTAGTTTTCTGATCTTTTTCAAGTGTCTTAAAACTAAGATAGCTGGAAGACTCTTTCTGCTTATTCAACCATGCTGATAGAGCTCGTTTCTACCAGAAATTTCTCTTTGCCTCTCAGAGCATGGCTAACAGACATCTGCATAAAAAATACCCATTCTATTAAATCATGCAAAAACATTTGCCCAGAAGAGATGGAGTAAAAGGTCAAACTCCAGTTTCCACAGCACATGGGATGTTAAGCCTAAGGAGCAATGCCAGTAGCTATTCTGGCCAACCGACACTTATCGACGCCTGTCCTTTACATGCCTCAAAGACATAGCTATTTCACATATTTAGAACCCTTACTTTTCCTTTTTTTCTCTTGTTTGTCCATAAATCTATCCCTTCCACTTGGGGGCTGGAGCACCTCCCATATAAAGACAGGCTGAGAAAGTTGGGGCTGTACTGGCAATGCTCCAGGTGAGGTCTCACAAGAGCAGAGTAGAGGGGCAAGATCACCTCCTTTGACCTGCTGGTCATGCTGCTTTTGATGCAGCCCAGGATACGGTTGGCTTTCTGGGCTGCAAGTGCACACTGCTGGCTCATGTTCATTTTCTCATCGACCAACACCCCTAAGCCCTTCTTCGCAGGGCTGCTCTGTATCTCTTCTCTGCCCAACCTGTAGCTGTGCCTGGGATTGCTCCAACCCAGGTGTAGGACCTTGCACTTGGCATGGTTAAACTTCATGAAGTTGGCATCAGCCCACCAGTTTTTTACCTCCACCTTAGAAGGAAGACAGCTTTGGAACTTAAAAGATTTCTGAACATATTTCTAAGTAATGAAAACTATTTGGTCTTGATAATTACTTTAGAAGAAGAGAATATTTTAAATCATGTTCAAAATATCTTCAAAATGTAAAGCCAGTCATTTCTTGGCTGCCGGGGGCTAACCCTGAAGTCACTTTTAATGACCAATGGGGAAGACAGATTTGAAAAGGAATGCGTACAAAAGTTTTTGGAAGGATCTATCCCTTTCATTTTTGCTCTCTGAGACATTAGTATGCCTATAGTCAGAACCATTAAGTCATTAACTAGTGCTTACTTCACGATTCAGTGCACCAAACAGTTGAAATGTTCTGTATCTGTATCTGCTGGAAGCAGATCAAGGTAAAGTTATTTTTCCTTAACATATTAGAGTCTATTGTTTGAAATTTTGTATCATCTCTCTCAGTGTAGTATATTTTCACGATTTGATTATAAAGGTACTATTTTTAGTGCAGATAACTGCTAGGCATACTGTGAGATGCAGAAAAATTTTCTAATGCAAACTCAACTTGGCAAGCATATATTGTTAAACAGAGCAATTCTTCTAGGCATTCCAGCTTTTAAAGACTACCAAATAAATAAATCATAACTTGAGGTTTGCTTAACAAAACCTCCCCTCTCTCCAAGTGATGATTACCTTTCATCTGACCAATTAAACCACATGACTCAGTAGCAATAAATGGAATGAAAACATATGAATGCAATCTCTCTGTTTATAGGTGTCCTGGGAGAACATTATTAGATTTTGTTACTAGCTCTGAGAGCACTACTGCACTTGTTGCTGAGGTATCATTTAATTCATTTGTCCACCTCTTAAAATCTATCTGAAGTTGTATTTATTCACTCTGAAATTGCTTGCTTGCATATCCTCTTTGTTTATTGGTCTGGTCATATACATATAGTAGCTTCTTTTGAACATAGTATGTGTCCTGTGAATATATAGCGCCTAAAATAATAGCTTCCTAGTCCTGGCTGGCTTCTTTGGACATTACAAGGAAAATTAAAATACTTCTTTAGCCTTGTTCTTTACAGCATGTCTGGCTAAGAAAATTAGTTTATTATATACCCCTTTCTGAAGTCAGGAATTATTATCTTACTTTCATAAGTGAGGAACTGAGATACAAACGTATGTTGTGTTCAGGAAGTTACACAAGAAGCTTGCAAGCCTTAGGTACTTAATTCTTATTATCTGAGTCAGCACCTGCTCCCTGCTCTAGCTCTTATTACTCACATAAATATCTAGTGTTTTTCAGGATCCTCCTAAACTATTGGCTTGTCTATCTCTAAGTTCTTAAGGTATATTATATGTCATGCAAAAAAGTATTTCCTTATGCATTAGTTGCTTTCTATGACTCTCCTGTGTTGTGCCAAAA